GGGAACAGGGGGACTGGAGAGCAGAGGGGGCAGGCGGCGGGGGGCAGCAGAACCAAGGCGAATATTTCAGCTGGGCTAGACCCCTCTCCCCGTCCCTTCTCTAGAAGCTTAGAGAGCCAGCCAGCAAGGGAACCTTCAGTTCCTGAGCCAGTTGCCACCAGTAGCAGTTGTGTGAGCTTGAGTGCATGTGTGCGTGAGTACATAGGGTATAGACATAGATCTCTGTTTCTTAGCCAAGGGGGCGTCATCTCTTACCTGACAGATTGCTGTGCGCCTGCTCTCTGGGAACCCCTCCTCCCTGGGCAGGTCAGTGGGTTATCGTCATGTCACCCAGGATCACGCCCCAACCACACAGACCCACGTCCTGTCCCACGGCACCCAGGAGAGGGTCTCCCTCCTCCCTGGGGCCCCCTGTGCCGCCAGACTCCCACCCCACTGCCTGGGAGTGATGGAACCCCCTGTCTCTGCACCCCTGCCCACCCAGGGCCTTGTGTGTGTGCACGTTTGTGTGGGTGCACACGTGCACAGGAACACGTGGGTCGGTGCTGTGCACACACGGCAAGGCCGTGGTGGATGGGAACCCGAGGCTGCTCTCCTGTCAGCAGCATTCCCTTGCCTTAAGTGCGAACTCGACCGAGGCGGTCATTAAAAAGGGGTCGGGGACTCAGAGGCATCTGAGCTGTGCCTTAAAGGAAGAGCGAAGTTTAGATAAATGGCGAGGGTGGGAGACCGGTCAGTACCTTGACTTTTCTAGCGTCTTTATTGAGGACATTTCACACGTACGCACAAGGAGAGAGGGTAGTGTTTTTAAGAATCCGCCTACCTTTCACCCGGCTTCAACACTTGTCAACGTTTCACTAGTTTATTTTGAAAATAAGGAAGGGTTTAGGGGTGAGAGTAGTGAAAATAATATCTCTTGAAGAGATAAAAGAAGAGGCACCCCTCGAAGCTTGTCCAAATAAAGGGGTGCCCTGCACCCCTCTCGTAAGGGTATCACATGGCCCTGAAGCACAGGGCCCGCGTAGGGTTGCAACGGGATGTGGTCGGCAACAAGCGGCTACTGGCGTTTTGGTCGCTGTCTCTCTGACTTTCACGTCAGTTCTCTCTCCACATACGCTGAAGCTAGCGATCACCCCACCTTCACTTTGATCAACCTGGAGTCGCCGTCTGGGTTCCCTGCAATGAACCCAGATGATAGCACCGCCTCCTGCCCCTCCAGGCTCTGCCCTTTCCTAGGTCTGAGGGCGCAGGCCAGAGAGCAAGTAGGGCTGGACACGAGGGAAAATTACCCACGTGGTTCCTGCCCTCCAAGATCTGCCACTCCCATTGAGGAGTGCCCCTCTGGTGGCTCTGAGGGCCCCTCTGTGGCAGGAGGTGGGGTCATCGTCTAGGAATGATGAGGGAGGTGGTAGGAGACATGAATTGAGGAGAGTAGGCAAGGTTGGGGTTTGGTGAGGAAGGTTTTGGGGGTTTAAACTATGAGGAAGTGTATTGTTGACCGAACACGAAGGCTAGAGGGAGGTGATGATGGTTGTGGTTGAGTTTTCCAATGAAGGGTCATCAAGGACCCAGACCCTTTCCTTCCTGACCCTTTTAAACAGCATGTGGGTGTTCTAGGCTTGGTGCTGGGTGAATGACTCCTGCCTATGAAAGAAGAGCTCGTAACCATCGTATATTTTCTAAATAATTGGTTTTATTTTAGTCTTTTAAATAAGGTGCTCAACTCGCCAGCCTCATTTGTGAGCTCTTTTGTGCCTTATGCTTTGTCGTATCCCCAGTGCCACGGGCAGTGCCTGGTACCCACAAGGTGCTCATTCACTCATTCAAGAATTATTTGCTGCTAAGTGCTAGGATGCAGGGATCCAGGGCACCTTGCCCAGCCTGTGGGGTGGACGTGGGGTCAGCAAACACTTCCTTGAGATCGTAATGCCGGACCTGAGTCCCTGAATCTCGGAGGCTCAGCAGGATATTGAAGGCTTCCCTTCCATTAGCAGCCAGAGTCTGAAGCTGTTCCTATGCCAGAACTCACGGGAGGGCGGGGGTGGGGGTGGGGGGGGTCAGCGTCCAATTAGTGCTGATTGAACACCTGTTATGTGCCTGGTGCCGGGGCGGCAGGTTAATCACAGTTCTTGCCTGCAAGGAGCCTCTCGGCCAGTCAGGAAGAGAGCAAAGCCCTTCAGCCCTAGGTAATGAGTGAGCGCACGGGCCCTCCCCAAGGCCGCCAGGAGTGAGCGGCCCTCGAACCCATGGCAACATGAGGAGGGGCCAGCTGGCCCAGAGGCTGGAAGCGGGGTAGGTCGGGAAACGCGGCGGAGAGGAGGGCGCGCAGGAGGAGGGTGGAGTGGGTTACAGCCCCTGGGCTGGCTCTGCCTTTGCCCCCTTGCCTTTACCTCATTTGGACTTGGGAGCTCGCTCCTTGTACTTCTAGCTCTTTGGCCGGAGAAGTGTCTGACGGTGCTCCAGAGTCTGGGTGTCATCGTCCGTGAAGGGGCCGTGAAACGTTCACTGACCCCCCCCAGAGCTGCTCCGTCTCGGAAAGCGTCAGGGTTTGTTCCACGTGTGACGGCGGGAAAGGGGGCGGTAAGGTCCAGGCGCCCGCAGAACCACAGCGCAGCCCTCAGGAGGAGGCGTGGGGCTGCGAGGGCTGCACGGACATGACCGACTGGGCTCTGGCACGTGGACCCCCTCTTCCCGCTCCCCTTGCATTGGACTGCCGGCCTCGTCTGGTCGTGGCTCTCCAGGAGTCTCTTGAGGGCCCCCTCGACTTCCTTGTTCCTCAGACTATAGATCATAGGGTGGAGCACGGGAGTGACACTGGTGTAGATTAAGGACACAGTTTTGTCCTGTTCTGGGGCATAGCATGACTTGGGGCGAATGTAGATGAATATTGTGCAGCCGTAGTGCAGAAGGGAGACCAGCAGGTGCCCAGCACAGGCGGAGAAGGCCTTGCTCCTGCCCTCAGCCACGTGGATTCTGAGGACGGCAGCGATAATGAACCCGCAGGAGAGCAGGGTCAGCAGGAAGGGAACCAACAGGATGAGCAGGCAGACGAGGAAGACCGCGACCTCACTGGCCCGCGTGCGTGCGCGCAGGCCAGGAGTAGCACAGCGGGGATGTCACAGAAGAAATGACTGATCTCATGAGACTGACCAAAGGGGAAGAGGGATATCAGTGTGGGGAGGGTGAAGGAGAGCGCAAGTCCGCTGACTCACGCCAGAGCCAGCACCTGCAGACACAGGGTCCTGGCTATGATGAGTGTGTAATGCAGGGGCTTGCAGATGGCCTCAAAGCGGTCGTAGGCCATCGCAGCCACGAGGAAACACTCTGCCCTGCCCAGGGCGCTGAAGAGATGCATTTGCAGGGCTCAGCCCAGGAAGGGCATCCGCTGGCTCCCGGACAGGAAACTGGCCAGCATGCTGGGGACGATGACCCATGTATAGCCGATTTCAATGGTGGACAGGTTGCGAAGGAGGAAATACGCGGAGTCAAAGAGGGTGATGAGCGCAAGAGTCGTGTGCCCTGCTAGGGTGACAAGATGCATGATTAGAAACAGTCCAAACAGGGAGATTTGTAACTCAGCCAGGTCCCCAAAGCCCAAGACAATGAATTCAGAGCTCAAGGTGTGCTGCTTCTGCAGTGGGGCCATCCTGCGTTCTCCTCTGTCGAGCTCCTGGGCCGGAAAAGGCAGCTTTCTAGCAATTCTCTAAGTCGTGGGAGACCCTGGAGCCCTCTCCACAGATGGCCATTGTCCCCATTCTGTGAGCCTTTTGAACTCTGCCTTCTGTTCAGCGAGAGCGGCGGAGTGCTCGCTCTGATGGTGACGTCACTTTAGTTCACCTGTTGAGTTATTACAGAAACGAGCCGAGATGAGTGAAGTTGTCTTTAACAGACCCTAACGAAAGTCCTCCTTCTGACTACGTTTTGAAGAGCGGCCTCAGGGTAGGGGTTGGGTGCTGAGCGTGATGTTACTTAGGTTGGAACAGAGGCCGGGCCGGCGGGGTCATTGACGCCGTGGGGAATTCCCGTGGGATGGAGGGTCCGGCGAGTTGGTCTTAAAGACACTTTGACTCTGTGCGTTGGCTATGTTGTCCCTCCCTCGCCACCGCCCCTCCCCACCAAACTCCCAGGATTCCTGCAGCCTCCCCCGTTTCAGCTCCGCTGAGTCGCAGGGAGACCCCGGCTTACGTGTCACCCCGCTCTAGACACCTCTTCTGAGCCCTGGGCTGAGTCAGGCGGATTCTCTCTCTGGCTACCCCAAAAGCCTGTGGGCTCCATGATGGCAAGAATGATTTCTTATTTAGGCTCTCCAACAGTGGCTGGCACATATTAGTGTTACTGGTGAAGATCTGTTGACTAAAAGTCTGTTGCTCGTTTCTGCATCCTCTGCAGTTAGGGCAGAGTCAGACATTGAGTAGGCACCCAACACGTATGCTTGAGTTAATGGTTAAGTGAAAGCAGGGAACCTTTGACGTATTGGGGATGCTGAGGTCATGATCGTCCAGGGTGGGAGGAAGCAGGACAGAACTAGGACATAGTCGGCACCTTCCCAGACTTTGGGGGACACGTTTGCTTCTCTCTTCCCCGGTAGGACCAAAGATACAAGTAGGAGGCCTTATGCCTAGGCTTCGATTCCTTCCTGTGCATCCCTTTCTCACAGCAGAGGAGAGGAGAAGCTTGCTAAAGAGTCTAGAGATCTAACACATCGAGACTCAGCAGGAGTGACCTGTTGAGGTCACTGAGATGGGTTCTCTTTATTTTCAGCGCCTCGTGGAAATGGAGTTGTCACCTCAAGGACAGGAGCTCACTTAGGTACCATTTGGACCGGGGCCAAAGTGTGAGACGCGAAGGGTGTTCACTGAAACCTGAAAACCCATTCTGCTGATGGTTTTGCTTGGCCCAGACGGAGTTTGTGCTTCCAGTTTCCCAGCCCCTTGCATGTTACACTGACTATTCTTTGGGTGTTCACTGACCTAATGGGCGCCTAGAGTCTCTGAGCAGCACGGGTCCCTGGAGGGCCGTTTGCAGAGCCGATGGTCACGACGTCTTCCCCGGATGACGCCTTCCCTGCTCCCAGCCCTGCCACCAGCTCCGCCTGGAAATCACACTAAGTGCCCTGCTCTGCCAGCGGTCTGAGTGAGGCCATCCTTTCCGGGTTCTTGTTTCTCTTCCTTGGACTCGGACCCTCGGCTCTGGCTTGGCCACAGCTGATCACTTCCACTCTTTTTTCCCATGACGGGGCTGCGGACATGTGGGGATTGCTTTGTTTCATTTGGGCCCTAAACCTTGAAAACACTGAAAACACAAAAATGAAAGTCAAAGACTTTCAAAGACACATGATCCAAACGGTTGAAAAGCGAGAAGTGAAAGTCAGTGTGACTTTCTCCCCCTGCTCTCCCAGAGAGCATCGCTCTCAGCCGGGGGGCTCACTTCCTTCCCTGCTTTGTCCGGTGCGTACAAACGCAAACACTTCACGCACACGCACACACTCACACGCATGGGCATACACACACATACACACTCCCACACGTGTACACAGAAACAAGCATGCACACACCTTACACACGCAAGCATAAACACGATCACATGTACGCACACATACACATTTGCACACGTGTATGGACACACACAGTGCACACCTGCGCGCATACATCAACACACACCTGCACGCATATATGCACATGTTCCCACACTCACACGTGTATGTATATAAACGTTCACCACAGTCACACATTAAAAAAGCTGAAATGGGATCATATTACACATATAAACTTACTGCCCTTAGACTGCCCTTAGTGTTTTCACCGCATAATGTGTCCGGGAGAGGTTTTCAGTCAGCACATAACTGGTTTACTTCAATCTTCTTTTGTTTTTTTTAACATCTTTATTGGAGTATAATTGCTTTACAATGGTGTGTTAGTTCCTGCTTTATAACAAAGGGAGTCATACTTCAGTCTTTTAACTGCCGCATTCTACAGTATGGATGCACTGTAATGTCATTAAGTGTAATGAAATAATACAACAAACACACGATAACAGATAAAACCTACACACAAAAGTAAATAAAACATAATTAAAATAACTGAGACTTTAATCAGTCTTTCATTACTTCGGTGTTGCAGTGGTTTCTATTTGTTTCTTACCACACGCCACGGTCCAAAGCATAGCCCCGAGTGGAGCGCGGAGCAGCGGCCCCGCGTGAGTACGGCTCGTGCATCCTTCCTGCTCTTTTCTCGCGTGCCTGGAACGGCCCCGGAGAAGAGATCTGGTTTGGTTACCTGGGAGGCACAGATCAGCGCGTGAAGCGGAAAACCGGGGAGAAGCCCGAGGAGGAGGAAAGCCCATCTTCAGGGAAGCAGCGGCAGCGCCCAGTGGCCTGGACCCGGTGGCACAGCTTCCCGCAGCCTGGCCGGTGGCTTTCCCGCCTGTCCGGACCACGGGGAGCGAGCCCTCGGAAGCACTGTCTGATGGCTGGAAGGAAGGGAGTGTCCTTAGAGGAGCTGCTACGTTGGCCCTAGAGGAGAGGTGGGGAAGGAGGCCGTCCCTGTGGTCCACCCCACCGAGGGGAGGCCCTTCCCTAGGTCACACAGCTGAACCCAAGCCCAAACTCAATTGCTCAGGTTTTCCTTGCCAAAAAAAAAAAAAAGAAAAAGAAAAAGAAAAAACAGTCTAGATCTTGACAATGTTGTTTAACTCAGATCTGCTGAAATTGCGGGCCCACTGTGCCGTCACCAGTACGCGAATGGGCCTCAGGCTGATTTTAGAGGCAGAAAATGCACAGGTTTGCTTGGGTTTGAATCAAGCCATCAGGCCTTGCTAGAGAGGAGTGCAGAGTGGGCAGTGGAGCCCGAGATTGGTGAGCTTTTAAGCCCCCCAGCCCCCAAAGCTGAGAGTCTACAAGGGGACTTAATCAGGGCCATCGGGGATTCCATTTTTAATCTGCAAACTCTGAGTCATCAAAGTAGCTTCATTGAACGAAGTGGGGACTGAGGGTTATGGAAGCTTGAGAAAGCTACTACTCAGCTGACCCAGGCTTCTGTCTAATACTTTCATCTCCCCGGTTCTGGTCTAGGTGTAGCCCGATGTCCAACCTGCACCGTGCCCTGCATCCTCGTAAGGCAGGACCCCAACGACGCCTCGCCTACATTCATAAAGCCAGTCTTCCCCCTGCAGCCACTCTGGGCCTTCCTTTGGTTCACTTCCACGGCCCACAGGCTTGCTCAGAATAAACCTCCCTTCCACCGCCGTCCTTTGGAGGATAGCCCTGCCCGGGCCAAAGCCTCGGAGGGCTAGCTCGGTGCTGGCCTGCAGGCGGCAGTGGGACAAGGCCTGCCCCGCAGCACTCTGCCACACTCTGCAACCGGAAACAGGACCCCCAAGAGCCCTCTGGGTACTTAGAATTACACACACTTCCCCTTGAATCATTCCAGTCGTTTCTGCCTCTAATCATGACCCCAGAGGGGCTGCCAACAGTCCAAGGTGGGCCTACGGCACTTTTCCACCTTCCTCTCCCTCCTCCCTGGCCTGTTTCTCCTCTTGGCCCCAGTTTCTAATACAAAAGCTCTTCTGCCATCTAATGGAGAGAAGCACCGTGCAACTCTCCAGCGTCGATGAGTGACCTGATGTGGCGGCAGCGCGGGGCTGAGGATATGCTGTCTTCCTCCAGCTAATGCGCATGCCCACCTTAGTGCCAGCATTACCGGCACGTGGGGTCCGAAGGGAGGGATGGCAAGTAAGAGGTTTTAAACATAAATTCAGCACTTTGGAAGAAAGGCACCTCAAAAGGGCCCTAAGTAACTGGGGCTGCCGCCTCTGCAAATTCCTAGATGTTCTAAGGCAGTGTCAGCGCAGCTGCCACACCACTCACAGCCACAGACTCTGTGTGTCTCCCCTGGTTTCCTCGAGGAAAGAGATGCCACATGGAGATGCAGTGAAATACACTGTTGGTGAGCAGCGTCCAGAGGTCCACGTTTCCTCACCAGGGGGAATTTGTCAGAGGTTCTCAGTGTGGAGTATTTGGTCTCTTTCTCCTTCCCTTTCCACTCCCTCCAATGGGTTGTTCTGAGTCTAACTGTGTGGGGTGTAGGGAATTAGCTGTATTCACAAACCAGCCCTTACCAGTGTAGAGGCTTTGCTTCCCCATCTGTTGGGACTTTTCTTGTATTTCTCAAGTGGTTCAGAACTCCGGCAGGGAAGAGGTATGCTATTTATTGGCCCTTCTTCACTCCCCCAAATTCTCAACTTAAGTGCTAATATTTGTACCTAAGTTTCTTAGAAATTGTGCTGCCAAGGAGGCAGGCGTGCAGTCCTGAGTGGGGAGCCTCAGAATTCCCTTCATTTCTCAGGGAGGGAACTCCGCTCCCGCTTCCTCACCTTACGGGCAGTGGGTCGGGACACTAGGCCTCTTCGTGGAACCACGTGCTTGTATCCGGTTAGGACGTGATGATGAAGCAATCTGGTCGATTGTTCTTCCCTTAACAGTCTCTTCATGGTTGTTCTGATTTACTGAGGTATAGTTGATGTACAGTATTATGTAAGTTTCAAGGGGCACAGCGTAGTGATTCACAGTTTTTAAAGGTTATAATCCATCTATAGTTATTATAAAATATTGGCTCTATTGCCTGTACTGTACAATATATCCTTGTAGCT